AAATATGTTTAAATATATATATTCTATGATTTGAGAGTGAAGGACAATAAAATTAGTGATTTGACCATAAAAAGTATAGAAATCACTTTTGGACATTTAAAAGTATTCCAAACAGAAATTATGTTAGTAATTATATTAATAAGATAATTTAATATCTAATCAAATAGTTGAACCATACATTTGTTAAAACTAGTATAGGTACATTATTACGTACTTTCGTAGAAGCTGGGATAGCGTAACATAGATTAAGAACTCTATAATTTAATATAACTCGATAGTGGCGTATTTAGGGGGAAGGTTAACCCCCCAAAATTAATTCCTATATATGCCACTGGAACCAGGGGCTTAGACCTGTACTTATAACTTTTGCAAGGAGTTAGTCTCCTCGAGCCCTCTGATTTCCACCAATAAGCTTGGGACTACTAATACTTTTGAACAATAATTTTATTATAAAATCAATAGCAGTACTATCTGGAAAAAAAACTTTTGGATTCTATAAGTGTGAATGAATCACACGTAATGTCAACTAAAATTACATAACAATGTACAACTCTGAAAAACGATGGTATCTATACTGAAAGTGTTGCATTGTTATCAAAAAMTCTTTAAACGAAGACTTATTGTACCTATTTATATAAATAAAATATGAATTATGATTAATATATTCGGTACCTACCATTACAATATTGTACAGCGGAAACCTAGCCTTTAACAAATATTCCTAATTAGCAGACACCTCCTAATAACGGACAATTTTTCAGGCCCCAKCACAGCCCCATTGGAATTAATAACAGATAGACATTTTGATGATTATTGTTTTTAAACTGTTGTACTTATCTCTTATTTAGTTTGATATTTCATTGTTGAATCAGTTACGTTKAGTAAATAATTGTTGTGTTGTAATAGTATTATTWAAAGCTAATTAAAAAAAAAAATACGGACAGACATGTGAACATATATATTTATTATGTTTTTTTTTTTTTTTAATTTCCGATAAAGAAATTTATTTTATGATTTAATCGATACTACTAGCCACTAGGTAGGTACCTACCTAAATACAATCAATAAATCTAAACGAACGAAAGATAATGATAAAAATATACATTATACATATTCTCAAATTGATACCTATAAACCATATCTGGGGGACGAGGTGGCCGAGTGGTCTACCGCGTCGGCTGTGGCTCAGCCGGACCGGGTTCGA